TCTTTATTGTGATAAACTGCCTCACAATATGTCACAATATGCTTTTCTGAGAATATCGTGGATATCGCCAGTGTTTAAAACCATTTCCCAACTGCATATTTGATTACGAAGTGAGCACAATTAGTCCTGTTTAATTAGATTTAGTGAAATGTTGAATTAAAGTAATTGTATTATAGGAATTATGACTTACTTGCATATCAATTTTTGATAATATTTTTTTAAATGTGGCACTACTTTGTCTGTTCCAACTTATTACATATCAGAAAAACTAAATATTGTATCATATTGTGTGTATCGTTAAAACTTTTTGATACTACATTTTTGCCGTATCGCCCACCTCTAGCTATGAGTGATAAATCATTTTGAATTACACCATGTTTTAGTTTCTTCTTAGATCTAAAGACATCTTTGATTTAAAGATGCAGGGTTACTGCTTCAGGGAATTGATTAAGACATTGATTTTTCTGCCTAGTATTTTCTTTATGGCATAGAATCTTAAGAAGTACTATCTTAAGAGTAATGCTGCTGAATTCAGACGAATTATAGCCTAAATACTGTGAAAAAGACAGGAATATGTTGATTCCTTGTGGCAGTAGCACTGCATCTTGATTTTCTGCATTCTCAGGCTGGATGAGGTTGTATTTTAGTTGCATTTTAGCCACCATGCTTAAAGATGCAGGATACTGCAATGAGAAAATCAATATAAGCATTTTTCTCCATAGTGTATGGGCTATGCTAAATACCTTGAATTTCGTTAGCCTTACCCATTAAAATGTTGAAAAGAATTGGTCTGGCTAAAAAATCAATTTCAGTTGAATTAAGATACTAAAGTCTTGCGGACATTGCTGTTTTTCATGCAAACCAGGTCTTCGTCACTATAACTCATGATTATTATGAAAACAAAGGCATTTATTCTGTAAGAATTATTGATTCGTTTTTTCCATAACAATGAAGCTATGCTTGTATTAGATGAAGGCTCAATGTGGGTATGATTCATGCTTGTAGCTTGCATGAGGGTGGGGAATATGACTGTTGACTGTCAGAAAAATGCTTTTGTAATATTTAAAGCGAGCAAGGTGGTATTCTGTAGCTCAAGGTCAGCAATATCCACCTACTGACAGAGCGAATGACTCATCCTTTCTAACATGTCTGGCTGAGACAGTGAGAGAGGGGACTCTAGAGGTTTGAGGTGCTCCAGGCCTACAGTTATCCTTATTTCAGCATTAATTAAATAAATGTCAGAAATAATTGTCAGATTAATAAGTAGATATAATACAGCCCTAACTATATCACACATTACTCTCTGAAAAACTCAGACCAGGTAATGACTACCCCAGAACATGTTGGTTTAAATGGCTTTATACGGGCTTTATCTGAGTTTAAAAACTCTTGGACTGTCTGTTGGTTGGCTGTCACTGAGGTTGTACAGGGTAGTGGATAATACCACTGCCCTCCTCATGGTAGAAGGACGTTTGATTTTTCATCCAGACAAGCACACCACTCTACACCAACATGAGTCCATGGGCAACACTTCTGATGTTATATTCGCCAACCTCTGTAACATGATTACACTGTAAGTCTGCCGAATGAGTAAATGGTAAAGTACTGTTGCTGTTTGAGGGTTTGTATCCGATAATATTGTAAACTTGCATGCAGAAAAGTGACATATGGAATTGTGTGATTGATCCACAGTTCAGATGTGTGAAAGCAAATCAGAGACAATGAGCCCTTCATTCAGACAAGCCCAGAATCAGTCTTGGGTGTGGGCTCAAGTGTGAAAATGCCCTTAATGTTCATTCTATGAAATGTACAGATAAAGTCAGATTCCCCTCAAGGGGGCGCTGTTAGCACTCCAGCAATTCTGCATCTTTGAGTGTGTGGAAATCCGCTCCAGCAGTAATGCTTGCCTGATTGGAATCATACATTTCAAAGCGAGGAGGAAAATGGTTTATCTAAAGTTTAGACTCACTGTTATTTAAGATGTGGTATTTAATGCGAACAGCATATTTATTGAAAGGTTTAAAGTAGAGTGTGTGTGTGTGGTGTGTGTGGTGTGTGTGTGTGTGGTGTGTGTGTGTATAGGCTAAAGATAGCAAAGACAATAGGAACAGAGGGGGGCGCTTCATCTTATTAATCCAGAACAGTCTTATGGGAGGACTTCACAGGCAAACTGTAATATCCCTAATTATTGCTGTCTTTATGTGTGACATTGCAGCCCAAACTGAACAACTTTTGGCCATTTTGTACATTTTGTACTACAATTTCCTCTACCTTACACAACCTTAACCTGCGTTGCAGTTGCAGGACTACACTTGTGCAGATGACTTGGGCAGTGGGGAAATGTTCGATATTGCACATACCTTGTAGTTTGAACAGCTCAGGAATAACTGACTAACTGATGAATAACTCAGTACAACTTCCATGAGCCTTTGGACTCAAAATATTGAATGGACATATACACACATAAACACGGAGGTCTACTGAATGTGTGCACCTGTGATCTTTTTTGTATTCATGTAGGTTTAATTTCTCATAGCATGTACATCATTATTGTCACATTGCACAGCACTGCCTTTGAGGGTTCATTATTTACATTGTGAGCACGCTAGGGTACTAAAATGTACTTGGGCAGAAGAGGGGGGGTAGCAGTGCATCTTACCATCATTTTATCACAATGCAAACCTCTTAACTCTTAGAATAGACATTCTATTAATTATGTCTAACACAACTGCATTGTTTTAATACCACACTAGCACTTCTCCTGCCTCCCTACTCTACTCTAGTGTTACTAGCAAGTTGTGCAACAACGTAATTATAGTCATGATTGTTCCTCATTTGAATTTTATTCAAAATATCGTGAGAATGCTGAATTGTGAACCCAGTATCGTTGATCAAATTGTAGGCAGAGTGTACCGTCACACCCCTACTGGACAGCTCTCATTTTTCTGACCATGCCTTTAAATGTTGTCTTCACTTTTAGGCAACCTTGGTCTACTTTTATAGATGGAGAGTATATCATCACGCCTTTCTCAGTCGTGTGTAGGAAGAGATTTAGGTACTGTTCCCACAAGATTACTGCCTTCCATAACAATAAATGTAAGCTGGAATCTTCACTTTCAGTTTTTACGACTGCCTAAATCCACACCATAGCCATTTATTCTTTGTCCAAAGACTCTGAAAGTCTGTTTTTAGAAATTGCTGGTATTGGGCACTGTGGCATTAACGTGACGTGTGCGCACGCACACATTTAAAGCTGCACAGTCCTGCTCCGGTCAGCACTGAGTGTGGACTGGCTCTAAGGGTCAGCACTCTGCTCTGTAAAAGAATAGCCTCTTCCTTTCTTCTCTTACACTGAATGATTTACTGCTGTGAAGGCTGTTTTCTGCTTTCCTCTGGCAACATCTCTCGAGTGCTGTAGCCTCCTTTGCTTAAAAGCTTAGCTGTACAAGACTTTTTCAAATGTATTTTTATGATACTTATGCTACTGCAAGGGAATCTAACTGCCCTTTTGCTGTCAACTTTATGAGGCCTCTTCGAAATCCTGAAAAATCGGTACTGAACATGTATATGGGTCTGTATAGAGAATCTCATGATCTTAAATGTATTGTATGTGACTGACAGATAAAAATCCCACTCTTTAAGCTAACTTTAACGCGTGAATTATTGAGACACTGGCTTCTTCAACAGAGACAAATAATCCCCATTATTCCTCTAGATTGACAGTACAGCCGCAGTGATGTGTAGTCTTTTGTTCTGTTAGTTTCTGCACATCAGCAGCTGAACTATTTGCTGAGCATTCCTAGAGAGCATTTGATATTTTACCTCTTTGATCTCCTTCCAGTTGCCCTCAGTCTGTTCTTCTGTAGTTGTTATTCAGCACCATCCAACAAGAGTTAGACCTATTTAAAGTGCAGTAAATAAAGGCTAACAACAGCAATTAGTCAAATGCCATGTTAATTGATAGCGGCTAGTTGTCATTGATCGTTAGCCAAATTAGTAGTTTTGGTCAAACTGTTCCTTGGCAAGTTCAAAATCACTGCAGTTCCAGACTGGATCCCAGTAGAGGGCAGTGCCGGATCACGCTCCTTCATCTGCGCCATGGCCTGAATTTGACCCTTCTAGTCTCTCTAATTCCTTCTTACTACAGCATGGCCTAACCAGTGTGCGCAGAAAAGGCCAGAGAGTCATTGAATAGAGGCTTGAAAGACAACAAGCTTAATTTGGGGGCCTCTAGGCCTAAGTACCTTAGGGAAGACCGTGAAGATGGCAGTCTAGTTTTTGAAGTATCATACTGCAAAAAGTTGTTTTGGTGTAGTGGCAGTACTGTCAATACTTCCTATCCTGATCCTTTAGCAAATTCATCTTTGCATGAATATGTGTTTTCTTTAACTGGTAATGTTGTCTTAAATGTGTATTTAAAGCTGAAAAAAGTGAAAATAATTATAACCCAGGTATATGGATGGAGAGATGGGTCTAAACTTTGGTTGTTTTAATCATTTAACAATCATAATTGGTCTTTAAACAGCTATTCTTTACAACAAAAGCTTGATAAATAAGCACATAAAGGCATAGATTGGACAGTTTGGTTAAAGCTAATGCAGACCTAATCTAGTAAATATTTAATATACTTTTACCGATATCTGAATTTTGGCATTTTCACTGTTGAAATCACAAAGATATATTTTTATCAGGTTAGCCTTTATATTATTTGGTTACAGATTGATTAAAACATCAGTACTGTTGTCCATCTCTAGCTGGCGATGTGTATGTCTACATGCAGTGAAGTGGATACATCTTGTACTCATAGAAATCACCACTGACACCTGCTGGCCTTCTGTGGGCCAAAATATTTTTAAATAGAACTTTTATTTTTGTCTGTGGTTGCATGGCTGTGTCTTATGATGTGTTTTACAACAATAACTCCATCTCTCTCTCTCTCTCTCTCTCTCTCTCTCTCTCTCTCTCTCTCTCTCTTTCTCTTTCTCTCTCTCTCTGTGCAGGCTGCAGGCAAAGAGAGAGCGTGAGAGCTGTGCAAGAGCTTTAGGATGGCCAGTGAAAGCTCTACCATTCCAAGCCCTGTGGTGCGTCAGATCGACAAGCAGTTCCTGATCTGTAGCATATGCCTGGATCGCTACGACAACCCCAAGGTCCTCCCTTGCCTCCACACCTTCTGTGAAAGGTATGAGCTTTCCTTACCTTGGAATACACTAAGGTTGCCAGTTTATCTGGTACCTTCTTCCTGTACTTTTTGGCCACTTTAGCAGGACACCAATTATGTAGGTTCACATTGTAAGGTTTATAGTTATTCACTGTAGCATATCTGTTGCTGCATGATTGATCAGCCATCATCTACCCCATCTGTCAATTGAAAAAGACCGCCATAAGACTACCACTGACCATATATATCGTACTCGAGAGGTGGATCATTCTCAATACAGCAGTACTACCAGCCTGGTGATATTGGCATATGTTGCACTGGTACAAGAGAATTAGCTGCAGAAGCATATTAGTATTTATAAAAACGTAGATGTTTGACATCATAGTTCGTCATAAGGAGCTTCAAGGAAAGTATTAAAGTATTAAAGCATTAAAACAAAGTCATTCAGAGTGGTTTGGTGTGAAATGGTTGGTTGTAGAGAACTACACTCATTTCGACTAATTTTTTTACAGTGGTGGTGATAGGAACCAGGCATCACAATGTCTACAACACAAATATAGCCATTTTATTTACTGTCCAAAACCACCAGTGAACCTAAACTTGCCTTCTGAGTTTTTATATGCAGTGTTTTTAATGGTAAAATAGCAGTAAATCATGTAAGGTTTGGTACTGTTTACCTCTCCGCCATAAATAAATATTTTAATGTAAATAACAAAATATATGTTTTAGGCTATGTTTGTATAAGTTTGTTATCTCAAACCTACTGTAAAACAATGTCTCGGACATCAAGCAGTGTGTTCTTTATTTCAAGTTTTAACTTTCTGTGAGGGAACTTTTAGAGGCATTAAACATTTTGTGTACGGTTCTTATCACCACCACTGTGAACATTTCTAACTCTCCAAGTTTACTAGAACGGAGCACATCAAACCACTCTGAATGACATTGTTTACATCCTAATGACTGAATGATGCAGAGATTTATAATAGTAAGTGTAACTTATGTTTAAGATAATTGACAGATTTTAAAACGTGTTAAGTTCATAAATTTGAAAGGTGTTTATTATAGAAGAGATGTATTCAGGCCAACTTCTATGTCAAATATATTTGTTTTTTTAAGAAGTGAACGGATCAGATCATTGACCCATCAGTGTCCTTTCTTGCTGCAGGAGATAATTTGTGCTGTATTTGTTTATGTGGTCTACATTATGCTGTGCTGTTGTTCAGGTGCCTGCAGAACTACATCCCGGCCCACAGCCTGACGCTGTCGTGCCCTGTGTGCCGCCAGACATCCATCCTGCCAGAGAAAGGCGTGGCGGCCCTGCAGAGCAACTTCTTCATCACCAACCTGATGGAGGTGCTGAAGAGGAGCCCGGACAGCGGCCGAGGAGACGAGCACGCCGGACTGGACTCCATTGATGCCGTGGCCACAGGACAGCCACTCTCTTGCCCCAACCACGGAGGCAATGTATGATGCCTGAAGCTACATGACATGATCCCATTAAAGAAGCTGTTATAGTTTAGGCTTTGAAGATTTTGGAAGTGCAACATGCCCTGTGCGGCAAAGCTAATAGGGACCAAAGTTGGGAAGTATGCTGGTATACAAGTGAATAGCGGTGTAATATTAATCCATGATATCGGTTTTACTATATCATGCACATAGCGATGAACCCAAAAATGGCTTGTAAATACCCCCAAAACAACTTGTAGTTTAGTAGCATAAATAAAAGTAACTTAAATTAAAACAATTAAAACTTTCAAGTTTTAAATTTACACTGAGGAATAGGCCTTCTTTTTCAGTGTTGTTCCACCTTTTTGGATAAAGCACAAATAATGTTAAATTACGCACTAAGGTAGAACACTAAACTTAGTAATAGCAGTTATTTACTAGAAAGTGCATTTTCTGAAGACGATGTAGAGTGATTGTGCAGCTTAAGCAATTCCCAGGAAGTTGCTGTGGTGTTGCTAGGTGGTTTATACGGTATCCCTGTTGTTTGCTAGGATTTTACTAAGTTACTAAGTAGTTTCTATGGTTGGCATATTACTTTGTGGTTGCTGTGGTATTCCAGGTGGTTGCAAGGATGTTTGCTATGTTGCTGGTGGTTGCTAGGGTACTGCTTGGTGGTTGCCATGGTGTCCCAGGTGGTTGCTAGAGTGTGGCTAGTTGGTTGCTACGGCATATCAGGTGGTTGCTAGGGTGTTGCTAGGTGGTTAATAGGTAGCTGCTAGGGTGTTGCTGGGGTATCCCAGGTGGTTGCAATTAATTCACAGGTGGCTGCAGCAGTATTTCAGGTGATTGCTATGGTATCCCAGGGTGTTGCTAGGCTTCTGCTAACCAGTTTCTATAGCACCTCTGGTAGTTGCCAGGGTATTGCTAGTCAGTTGTCATGGCGTTCCACGTGGTTGTTACAGTGTTGCTAATTGGTTGCTATGGTATTACAAGTGGTTACTGGAGTGTTGCTAGGTGGTTAGTAGGTGGTCAACAGGGTATTGCTGTGGTATGCCAGTTGGTTGCTTTTGTGTTGCTAGGTGTCTGCAGTTGTGTCCCAGGTGGTTGCAGTGGTGTTTTAGGGGATTGCTAGGGTCTTGCTACGAGGTTGCCATGGTATTTCGGGTGGTTGCTAAGGTGTTGATAGGTGGTTGGAAGGGCATCCTAGGTGGTTAACTGGGTGTTGCTTATATCTTGGTGATATAAATGTTGAGCACAAATAGGAGACCACCTAGTTTTGCAATTCATTCCTATAGGAAAAAAAATGCTGTCATTTAAAAATAATTGTACAAAAACCATTTTGGGACCAAAACATCTGCATTCCCAATGAGACCAAATATTCCGGAGTTGGATCGGTGTCAAAAATATGTTGAAAACTGCAAGAGTCAGTGGACCAAAAGACGAAGATGACAGTAGTTTTTCTTTCTTCAAAATCAATAAACTCACCCCTCATATGACCTACCACTAATACAAAGCAGTAGTAACTGTTGCAAAGTTACTAGGTCAGTTGTGTGATACCCAAGCATGATGGTTGTGAAAGACCTCAAAATTTACTGTCATTTCAAATACATAATGTCTAGAAATGGCTCGAGAACATACAGTCCAGCAGAATGGTACAAATAATCACTGTTAGCAGATACAAGCTTTAAAAGTTTGACTGTTAAAAACATTGTTATTACAGTTTTACAGAACTCTGTGACACTCTGCAGTTTGTTTCTAAGGTTACGGTTGGGAAAACGCAAGTTTGACTGTGTTGCGTACAGCTTTATCTTTTGGAATGTTCAGTATCTTGTTCCTCTGTACCGTTGCACTCACTGGAGGAATGTTGACATTCCAAACTTTCGCAGTGAGGCCCAGAACATTCAGTATCTCAGCAGTAGTGTAGCTCTACAGTAAGCTGAAGAATTTTTTTTACCATGCCTGGTTCTTCTATATTTGCCTTTTCGTGTTCACACAAGCATGTGAACTAAACTGAAACAGCTTGAGCTTATGGCTGGTGCCTTTGGCAGGTGATGGAGTTTTACTGCCCACCATGTGAGACAGCCATGTGTGAGGAGTGCACTAGCGGAGAGCACGCAGAACATGCTACAGTCCCGCTCAAAGACGTCTTGGAACAGCATAAAGCCTCCCTGCAGGAGCAGCTAGATGCAGTCAAAAAGAGGTAAGCAGTCAACTGAATGGTTGTGGACTCAATAGATTCTTAAGCAGCCAGCATAAAAGTTTCTAATATTAGAAGCAGGTAATAGGACAATATGTTATCATTATCATTATTGTAAATGGACTTTCTTTCCTGGGCACATGGAAAACAGACCAGTTGCATGCCTCTTTAAAAAATACTTTGAATGAATAGTTATAAATTAATTTGAATGAATAGTTATATAATAGAATGCTTAATTCAGAACAATTGTTGAGCCTGCAAACACTAAGAAGTGGTACTACACTGTCAAATTAAAACTGCATAGTAACAAGGAGCTAATTGGAGATTAGCAGATTATGCCATTATATATTATACAGTCATGTCGTCGCTGTCCAGAGAAAAACACGCATTTCCACAATGGTAACTTTTCAACAGAAGGCAAAGATTTTCTGCACTGTTAATATAGGATAATGTAAAGACGTGATTGGAGCATGTTTGTAGGTCCATTCATTATAAAAGGACAGTTCTTGTGTTCAAAAGATGTAGAAAAATAAAAATGGCCAAAAATGGAAATATATTATTATTTTTATTTATTTATTTATTTATTTATTTATTTTTGGGATGCTGACAATATGCAAAAGTTTGGGTGCTCTCAGTGAAACTAATTATCAGTTATCACTCTGAACATAAACATAAAATGTGGCCTGTGCAAAAGTTATGGCAAATTTAGTGTTTTATTTTTTCCCCCCACTATATTTAACCTCAGGCACACATTTTCTAAACCGCTTATCCTTCTGGTTTGTGGGGTGCTGGAGCCTATCCCAGCGTTCATTGGGCGAAAGGCAGGATACACCCTGGACAGGTCGCCAGTCCATCACAGACAAGACAGACATATACATTCACACACACGTTCACACCTAGGGGCAATTTAGCATGTTTAGCTGCCCTGACTGCATGTCTTTGGACTGTGGGAGGAAACCAGCCGAGGAACCGAACTCAGGCCGCCCCTAAACTTGGACAATAAAAAGATATTGTAAATATTGCAATGTTACTTTTTGCCATGTAAGCCATCCCTACTGAATATGTTCAAAAGGATCTAGAGATTATAGAGTGCTACCACAGAGAATATGAAGTGAAAATATTAAATGAAAAACAGTATATATAGTATTTTCTCTGTGAAAATCATAGAAGCATGGTATGGCATTGTTTGATGCCCATTATGTAAAATACACGGGTCACTAAAAGGAAAATAAACCATAACTTTTTGGCTTTTTATTGCGAAAGGTTGTAGAAAAGAAAACAGAAAACAATATAACTGATAATCCAAAACAAGGGAGGACTGGTTAATATATGGCTTTTCTTTGGAGGTGATCAAGTGTCTATTTAAATAAGTTAGGTATTCAAAATTAATTAATTGAAATTGGAATTGGAATTAATTTTGTACTGGTATGAATTTGCATGGCAGTGTTCTCAAAAATAAAGGTCCTTTATTGTTTAATGACTACAGCCAAAAGGTTGAACAGTTTCAGCATAGTTACTGGAGGAATCAGATTACCAGACTGTGCCACATTGGCCCCATCTAGGGTACAGTTGTGAGTACTGATGTCTTTTTGCCACATCTTGAATAGATTATATTGCTACTAAGTGTATATCAAACTTTAAACAGAGAGAGAGAGAGAGATGGAGTAAAAGCAGGAGAGGAAGAACAAGTCATTGTCTCATTGTCTCTTTTGACCTTTCCAGACTTCCGGAGATCGATTCTGCCTTGCAGGTGCTATCTGAGATCCTGCAGCAGCTGACCAATCAGAAGAGCACAATTGAGGAAGACATTCACGCCACCTTTGATGAGCTGCAGAAGACACTCAATGTGCGCAAGAGCGTCCTGCTTATGGAGCTGGAGGTCAACTATGGGCTCAAACAGAAAGTGAGTATATCTAGTTTAGCCCTGCAGAGACTGGCTTTGGCTGAAAAGGTTCAAACCAGTTTCTGTTATAGATGTGCCTACAGTGATAAACAACTCTCATTCCCAGCATGTTGGACGCCATGCATTGTGCCTTTTTGTGTTTGGATGCTGAAACAGGTCTGACTCCACTCATCAGCTAATAATAAAATCTTTAAAGTGAGGTCAGAAGTTTCTCGGTATCTTGTAGGCTAAAAGCGAGAACCACTGGCATGAGTAAAAAACATCAGAAACTTGGGCTGCACAGGCTTCAAGAGCCCCATAACTGCTCTTTTTTTTTCTGTGAGCATTCTGACCAATCACAGGTTAAGATATGCATTTCTGTAGGACTTTAGATGAATCAAGATATTCATGTAATCCACCAAAAGTAAATTATTCTGACTAAAATAAACCAGACCCTCTTTAATCTGCCGATTCACCACTCTGCTTTTAATAGATTTATAGATGTACTATAATTGCAATATGTAGCAATATAATCACAGTACTGTATTATTATACAGCCTTACAAAAAACTGTCAGGAAAAAGCAGAAAAGGCTTGTGGCTTAGAGGTCTGTTGCACATTTGCTCACACATTTCCATCTTGCACACTCTCTCTCAAAATTTGAGGGATAAAATTTGTGTTTCAGGGAGATTTTGGGTCCAGGGAGATTTTTCACATATCACTTCAGGCTCGGGTTTGTTTTCAAATGAATGATTTTTCTTTACTTAGTAGATTTGTGTTGTTTTTTTTAACTCATGCATTTCTCTTGCACACTCTCTTTCTGACACTCTGTCTCTTTCTTCCTATACAACAGAAGTAGAAGACTATTTTTTCACACACAACATTGGGCTTGAAGTTGTTTTCTAATGAGCGATTCATTGTAGGAATATGTCTACATAAATTTTGCACACTCATGCATTTTGTCTCTTGTGCTCTCTCTAACTTTCTCTCGCTCTCTTTCTCTCTCAGAAAAATATTGGGTTTCGAGTCGGAACCGTTTTTTTAAAATACATTGGACTTGGGTTTGTTTTCTGTTCTAATGAGCATTTTTCAGTAGATTTTTAAAGTTATATTATATTCATACCTAAACATATTTTTGTAATAATTTATATCCATACATTTTAGCCTCTTTGCCTTTTCACTCCTGTACGCTCTCTCTCTACAAAGTGTTGAGTTTTGGGCTGTGTTCGGTATGGTGTTTCACATTCAGTTTGTTTTCAAGTGGTCAGGTTTTTATAATGTGATTGTTTTTATTGCAAGGAATGTGACTAGTTAAATTTACACACTCTCATGTATTTTCTGTCTCGCATGCTTTCTATATGCATTTTAGTGCATTTTGTGTAAAAAAAACTTTGTGTGCAAAAAAAAATACCTTGTTAATGGTCTTGCTAACTTCGCAATGGACAAAATAAATAGAAAACTCCATAAAGGGGAGCTGTTTAAAATTGCAGATGAGTCAGGTAAGTCTTCATTGTGGAAGCATGTCCGTATCATGTCCTTGCAGAAGACCTCTAGTGGGACTTGATTTCTATTTTTCAGTACTTTATATTGCTGTTGGGTAATTAAAATGTACAAAATGCACAAATAGTTACTGCAAATGTTTAGAAGAGTAGATCAGTGTAGTTTACATACTACAGAGTTTTTCATGACGTCCCTTTGTTCTGCTTTAAATGTTTATACAGCCTCCACCTTGGATCCTCCCACAGTCTGACACTGCCATCCGGCACTAGTAGATGATTAAACATGTCATGCAACTACGCAGCACAGGCTACCATGTGGCTCAAACTGGAGCCCTGGCAACGTAGGTTGTGTCACATGGGAATGATTCACCTGGAAAGCCAGCCCAACAGCCACACGCGAAGCAGTCTGGCCTCAGGCTGTACACTGAAGACACAGACAACAGGACTAGTGATATAGCTTGAGTAGAATTTGTTCTGAGTTGGTTTTGATGGATGAGCACAGCAATGAGGAGCTGGAGGTGAGGTGGCTGGGAGCTGTTGTGATATATAAGATTTGAACTGATATCATCTACAGGATCTGATGTCTTTTGGGCCATTTTGGCAATTAAGCTTAAACAAAGAAGTAATCTGAGGCTTTTACAAAGGGGATTTATTCATATGAACTTAACAAATAACAAATAACTTAACAAGTAACAAATCTTGCATAGCCTTTTAAAGCTTCCAGAATACTTCACTGGAAAAAGATAAAGTGGGAAGCCTTTAACACTTTTAGTTAGCCGGCCAATTACTGCTGATTTGTATTTATTAGTATTGTGTCCATACTGCGAGTTATTGCCTGATCAGGTATGATAACAAGACATGCATTCAATGTATGTTACTTATTATTAGTGGAGAAAGTGTCTGTCAAACTAAAAGCCTCAGTTGTGTGGAAAGACTAAAGATAACATTGAGGCAGAAGGCGTCGAACTGTAAGTAAACAAGCCGTCATATCAGTCATATTTCTTATGCAGGCTAGAAATGGTGGCAGTCTTGGTTACGTAAATCATGACTGTATGTGAGATTTATTATAGCAGACTACATAGTCAAGGACAGCAGTGTTCAAAAATACTTTCATTGATTCCAGGAAAGTGCCTTTGTTGGATAATTACTGTTCATGTTTCGAGCTATTCTACATAGTTTTTGACATTTGTATGTGTAGTGTGTGTATTTCTGACCAGCTCATGTGTTGCAGGTAAGGGAGGGTATTTTGTAGTTGTGTAAGTGATGTCTGGTGGTGCATGGGTGCGTGGGCGATATGGCGAAACTCATGCCACATTTAAAAACTGGCATCTAAATCAATGAATACAATGATTTTTATTCACATTTTACATACTGCTCTGCACTGAATCCAATAAACAGAACTCTTTCTAAAGAAATATGCAGTTGGTTGGTTCTGTATGTGCTGATGATATCCACAATATACTCAGGGAAGCATATTATCATGATAATGATAAATATTGTCATATTTCCCACCTCTAGGGAATCTCATGATTCAATTCTATTTAAAAATGTATTCTTAATGCATTTGAATGTATTTTGCTTTTTTTATTTTGCCAACTTTGTTTTTTCCCTGTATTTGTCATTAACAAATAATATTAGCTTAGTTAAATTTGCTTTTGAGAGTAAAATACTGTGTTTGATGCATTTTTACAGTTAATTAAGTAAATTCGTAAACTTAATACTTAACACTGAATATTACAGGATAAGCCTATTAGCATATTAGCAATTTGCTGAGGTGGTTGTTAAAACAAATCCACGTTGCTGTTTGCCTTCCGCCCAATGGCTGCTGGTATAGCGCCCTAGAAGGATAAGCGGTTTAGGAAGTGTGTGTGTGTGTGTGTGTGTGTGTGTGTGTGTGTGTGTGTGTTCCCAGGTGATTGCTAAGATATTGCTAGACCATTGCTATGGAATCCTAGGTAGTTGCTAAGGTGTTGCTAGGCCATTGCTGCATTATCCCAGGTGGTTGCTAAGGTGTTGCTAGGCCATTGCTGTAGAATCCCAGGTGGTTGCTAAGGTTGCTAGGCTATTGCTGTGGTTTCCCAGGTGGTTGCTAAGGTATTACTAGGCCATTGCTGTGGAATCCTAGGTGGTTGCTAAGGTGTTGCTAGGCTATTGCTGCGTTATCTATCGTTTGCAAAGTTTTTAAGCCAATTTGAATAAATTATTTTTGCACTACTAATGCAAAATAAAGGTTTCTAAATGGGTCTTCACTTTCACAGAGCCATACACGGAAGAAACTTAAATTGTTATAGAACCCGTGTGGAGGCTCTTAACCTGTAAAAGGTTTCTAGTTGGTTTGGTTGGTTTAGGAAACCAAAAGTGTTTTTTCTATGGCACTGCTACAAGGAACTCTTTTGACACTTTTAGTTGTAAGAGTATGAGTTTGCGGGTTCAGGGTATGTTTTGGTTTACTTTAGGTGTTGCAGGTGCAGTCCAGTTTTGCTCCAGAGCAAGAAAAACCTGCTCTGACTGTTTGTGTGTGTGTGTGTGTGTTTGGCTGCTTTCTTTCCTGGCCTGTGCTTTAGGGATCATCTGTTTATATGTAATTTGGAAACACTTTTCAATCATTAGGAATTTGAATTGAGAAACACTATTAAGGGTTTCTTAACTCATTTGCTGATACTTTGGGTATTCTACAACATAAGCTTCACAACTGTCAAAGTGTCTTCCTTGGTATGAAGAACAAGTTGTGTTTAAAAACTGACTTTGCAGTTTTCTGTTCGAAAGTATTGTAAAAAGCACATACTAAACATCTTTTGGCCCAAAGGTTGTTTGAACACCTGAAAGGTTTGAATACAAAGGAGTGTTCACATCACAACAAAGGGATGAAATGTGCAGGCTTTGACATGACTCATAAGCTAGTACTTTTGATAAAGTAATTATATAGGTGTGAACTGTGACTATTAGAACTAGGCCTTCAAAGTGGGCCATAACTGTCAAGACTCAGTGAAAACATGAGGGGAAAAACCCACCTTAACGATAATGCTAACTTATGCCATCATCCCTACAGGATACTAGTACTTTGTTAGTGCTAAGCTAACAGTGATGAACGCATAAACACTTTCTTACAAGTAAGAAAGTTAGCTTAGTTGTCCGTTTCTAACAACCTATTGATTAGGCTTCCGCTCGTATTCACACTCAGTGATGTATCTATAGAAAATGGGTGTAAATACAACCCCATTACCAAAAAAGTTGGGACGTGTGCAGAATGTAAAAAATAGAATGCAATGATGTGCAAATCATGTAAACCATTTTTGTAAAGGAAAATACTACAAAGACAACAAATCAATTTTTTTAAAAAAAAATATATGCACATTTTGAATTTGATGCCAATAACACATTCCAAAAAAGTTGGGATGGGGGCATGTTTACCACTGTGTTTCATCACCTCTTCTTTTAACAACGCGCTGTAAGCGTTTGGGCACTGAGGAGACCGACTGCCGTAGTTTTGAAAGTGAAATGTTTTCCCAGTCTTGTTTTATAGGATTTCAGTCTCCTTTATTGTATTTTTCATTTCATAATGCACCAAATGTTATCAGTGGTGAACGGTCTGGACTGCAGGCAGGTCAGTTTAGCACCTGGACGCTTTAACTACAGAGCCATGCTGCTGTAGTAAGTGCAGAATGTGGTTTGGCATCGTCTTGCAGAAATAAGCAAGGCCTTCCCTGAAGAAGACGTCATCCGGATGGCAGCATATGTTGCCATAACATGTATGTATTGTTCAGCATTAATGGTGCCTTCACAGATGTGCGCTACTTTTTGTAGTTAACTACAAATTCTTGGAGCTAATAGCTGTAGGTGCTGCAGTTTTATGAAATGTAGCTAATAGCTGTAGCGCCTACAATTTTTTGTGTAGCTATATTGATAATTTTCGCTACAGACTTCAGGCAATCCACACAAAATCTGAACCATAGTACACGGTCGTTAACTGGGCTGGTGGCCACTGTGCAATCCTGACTGTTCCGCAGGCAGTTCGAACAAAGAGTCACACGCTGATCACCCCTTACTAGTAGGCTTAGCTCAGGGGTCGGCAACCGTAAATGTTAAGAAGTGCCATTTTGTCCTTTCAATAGAAATGAAACCACCTTGGGAGCTACAACATCTTATGTCCATTTTACCATCTTGGCTCTAAATATGTTTCAGTATATGTTAATATGCTAGTACAGGCTAAAAATATAATATAAATGCAAATGCAGACTTACTTTGCTCTACTTTAAGCTTTAGGTCAGCTATAGGTGCTTTTTTCGCATTTCAGGAAACTTATGAGTTTCTTGTAAAATGTCTCTCAATGTTCGACTTTTTACAAGGCTAAAGTAAGTTTCTCATTCTCTAGCTTCTTGTTCAAATTGTCCTGTTCCACCTTAAATAATGTCTGAGGCACCAGATTGTACTGCTGCGCCATTTAAGGTGTAACGGGGAATTCAAACAAGAAGCTGGAGAATGAGAAGACTTAAGCTTTGTGAGTTGTTGCAGATTAAATGTATGAGGAAACCAGCTGAGCGCTTATAAATGCAAATAAGTCCATTCATCTCCAAATTATCAATGTTCGTCTTAAATCTGTCTCTTTGCCTTTTTGTTGTCTGCATTGGTGTGTGACCAGCAGTCTGCGCGTCAGTCTTCAGTGTTAAAGGTTGGTGAATTAGCAGTTACAAGTTAACTCCAGCGTTTAATACCATTTATTGTGAAAACTGTGTTAGAACTGTGTGTTAATAACCATTTTACAGCAAAAGAGGATTATGTTATTTTACCTAAAACTCTAGTTCTGCTGTGGAACTGCAACAGCTCTGCTGCAGTGGAGAGATTATTCAGACCTGATTTTCACCCCAAACAGAACCAGGGTCACTGATAAGAGTTTTGAGGCTAAAGTGTTGCTGAAGTTTAACAAAGGACTCTGAATGTCATGTCTGTACATTTCTTGCTGAAATGTTTAAATTGGAGAAAATTGTTTGGTTTGTATACAGTTATTTTTGTTAGGAAAAACCTGGAATGATTGACTTTGCCTTTAGTCTATTTTTTTTATGGATATCACAGCTTTGGTTGTGTATGTTTGATTGTTGCTTACACTTGAACTTACTTTTTGGTGATCTTTTTTTACAGCTTTTCAATTGTATGTTTCTTTCTGGCACATGATTAAATGCAGTGTCTTGTTTACACTTTCATTTGAGCTTGTTTGGTGTGTCAGGTGGAGATTCACAATCATTCTGACAATTGCGCTTTGAAAGTGGCTAAAAAGTAGTGCACTACTTTTCAAAAAGTAGCTAAAAAGTAGCCACTACTTTTTTCTGGAAATGTAGCTAAATTGTAGCTAGCTACAAATATTGGGAAAGTTCTAATTTTTCAGTAGCTATCCCAACCGTGCATGTCACCCATGCCATGTGCACTAATGCAGCCCTATACCATCATGAATACTGGCTTCTGAACTGTGCACTGATAACAAACTGAGTGGTCTTTAGTCTGGAGGACAGTGTCCATGATTTCCAAAAATAATTTCAAATGATGATTCGTCAGACCACAGGTCACTTTTCCACTTCCCCTCAGTCCATTTTAAATTAGCTTGGGCCCAGAGAAGGTGGCCGCATTTCTGGATCCTGTTCATAAATGGTTTCTTCTTTGCGTTTTAGAGTTTTAACTTGCATTTGTGGATGCAGCGACAAACTGTTTTCACAGATAGTGGTTTTCAGAAGTGTTCCTGAGCCCATGCATTGATATCCACTACAGAATCATGTCTGTGTTTTAATGCAGTGCCGTCTGAGTGCCCATAGATGACAGCCAGCAAATACTGGTTTCTGGCCTTGTCCCTTGCATATAGAGATTCCTCCAGATTCTCTGTATATTTTAATGTTATTATGTACTGTAGATGAAATTCTCAAATTCTTTGCTATTTTAAATTGAGAAACATTATTCTTGAATTGTTGCACTATTTGATCGTGCAGTCCTTCACAGAGTGGTGAACCCCCCCCTCATATTTACTTCTGAAAAACTCAGCCTCTCTGGGATGCTCTTTTTATATCAAGTCATGTTACTGACCTGTTTCCAATTAACCACCAGGTGTTTGTTTTTTGTTTTTTTTCCACACAACTTTATCAGCCTTTGGTTGCCCCCGTCCCAACTTTTTTGGAAAGTATTGTTAGCCTCAAATTCAAAATGGGCAAATATTTTTCAAAAAAACAATGAAATTCCTCAGTTTCAACATTTGATTTGTTGTCTTTGTACTATTTTCAAGGACATATAAGGTTTAAATAATTTGCACATCATTGCAATTAGTTTTTATTTACATTTTGCACAGCGTCCCAACTTCTTTGGAAATGGGGTTGTACATATTAGTAAGTAAATGTTTTTTGGTGTGCAGGTACTCCAGACGCAGCTGGCCTCTCTGCTACAGGGTCAGGACGGCATGCGCAGCAGCTGCAGTTTCACCGAGCAGGCGCTGAGCCACGGCTCTGAGGCTGAGGTTCTGCTGGTGAAGAAGCAGATGAGCGAGCGCCTTGGTGAACTTGCCAATCAGGATCTGCCGCTGCAGCCCGAGGAGAACGGCCAGCTGGAGTTTCTGGCTGAGACAGAGGGCCTGAGGAAGTCCATCCACAACTTGGGCGCTATTGTCACCACCAATGCTGTCGCTGGAGAAACAGTAGCCACAGGCGAAGGCCTGAGGCACTGCACTGCTGGACGGCCCACCTCCATCACCATAACAACCAAGGATAAGGATGGCGGCCTGTGCCGGACAGGCGGAGCCCTGTTGACCGCTGAGCTGATCGGGGGGGAAGACGGGGCCCCAGCTGGAGATGGAGAACTCGTAGACCACAAGAATGGCACTTACGAGTTCCTGTACACACTGCCTTGCGAGGGACGCTTCACACTCTCCCTAAAACTGTACGGACACCACATCCGCGGGAGCCCATTCAGCATCCGTGCCACCAAAGCTGCTGACCCCTCAGCCAATGCTGATGGGGCCAAAAAGAGGCTGAAGTCACCAGGCAGTGGCCACGTCAAGCAGCGTGCCATTAAACGGCCCGCCAGTATGTACAGCTCAGGCAGGAGGAAGGAAAATCCCATCGAGGATGACCTCATGTTCCGAATAGGTACATACGTGGGCCGTTGGGGGGAAATGGATATTTTGTGCCATTCTACACCAGTTTTCGTATGGAGGTCCTAACCTTAAACATTTGTTGGACATCAGGGATGCAGCAGTTTGTCAAAGTAAATTACTCATCAACAGCATTGTGGAAAAATGTCACTTTACAGCACTCTATAATGTTAATGTCATACAGATGGTCTGATCTCATATTGGAGATAGCTTTTTATTTATTTTATTTTTTTTGACTGACAATTTGCTGGTGTAGATTTTAATAATCAATATACAAGAATACAGAGCAAGACACAAAATAGGCCTTTTTATGAGTACTCCCTCATATATGAACCATGTTTTTGGTTTGTGTTATAGGGACTAAAGGAAGAAATAAGGGAGAATTCACCAATCTGCAGGGAGTGGCAGCTTCCAATTTTGGAAGAGTCTTAATAGCAGACAGTAACAATCAGTGTGTTCAGGTAAGGTAGTGTACATGCCAAGTAGTGAAAAAACAGTGACAATGTACCAATAATTTCTAAATTGTTACCGTTTTACAGTGAAAGAAACAGATGTATTTCATGAGGGTACTAAAGGAATTTTTGTAATTGGTTGACCTCTTGTAGATATTTTCTAATGATGGGCAATTCAGAAGTCGCTTCGGAGTGCGGGGCCGGTCGCCAGGGCAACTTCAGCGGCCCACTGGAGTTGCTGTGCACCCCAGCGGTGACATCATCATTGCAGACTATGATAACAAATGGGTCAGTATTTTCTCCAGTGACGGCAAATTTAAGGTGAGTAATGAAAAAAATAAAATAAAATATCAATAGTATAAGGCAGTTTGAAGTACCTAAAGCATAAAGCCTGGTGATGAATGTTACATTTATGTTAAATGCGTCTATAAAGTTGTATAAGAATAAGAATTTGTAATACATTTAAATATGTTGCTATAAATATATAAGTAAACCTAAAGATTACACATTCAGTTTTTGTTTCTCTCTCTCTCTCTCTCTCTCTCTCTCTCTCTCTCTCTCTCTCTCTCTCTCTCGCTCTCTCTCTCTCAATGTTTGCTTTTGTGTCCCTTTCCCATTGTACCCTCTGTCAGACTAAGATCGGCTCAGGGAAGCTTATGGGTCCAAAAGGTGTGTCGGTTGACCGAAATGGCCACATCATCGTGGTGGACAACAAAGCCTGCTGCGTATTCATCTTTCAGCCAAATGGCAAACTCGTCACCAAGTTTGGCAACCGTGGTAACGGCGACAAACAGTTTGCAGGTATATTCCATGCTGATGTTTACAGGACATTTCCTGACACATGCCCAAGCGAACCTGCACCATTTTATCACTTTATGCAGCCCGTTTTGGCAAAGACAGTTTACAGTAGAGTGGATACTCTCTATAATGGAAAATGTAGAAGCAAAGAGGGGGTGTAGTTAATATACATAATATATATATATATATATATATATATATATATATATATATATATAATATATATATATATATATAATATTCCTCCTTGTTTTGTCCCTTTTTCAGGTCCTCATTTTGCAGCAGTCAACCAGAATAATGAAATCATTGTAACTGATTTCCATAATCATTCTGTGAAGGTATGTGCTTGCGTAAATAATTCTTTAATCCATTGTTTGAAAGCCTTTTGCGTTTTATTATAATTATTAGGAATAATTAAATTGTTTTTAAAGGGCTGTTACCAATAGTACCAAAATAAAACACCTCTCCTAATTATTGTGTTCAGATGTTTCAGCCACACCCATTGCTAAGTGGTGTATTAAATAAGCACAAAGCCATGCACTCTCCATTGACAAACACTGGCAGTAGAATGAAGTATTGGCAGTTATAGGATTGGCAGTCAGTTTGTGAAATTTGTGCCCTGCTAGATCTGCCTCGGTCAACTGTAGGTGCTATTATTGTGTATTGTGTACTATATGTAGAATGTAAGTTTCTTTTAACTTGATGTTTGCAGGTATTTACTCCAGAGGGAGAGTTCTTGCTGAAGTTCGGCTCCAATGGAGAGGGAAATGGCCAATTTAACGCCCCCACTGGAGTTGCAGTGGACGTCAATGGCAATATCATAGTAGCTGACTGGGGCAACAGCAGGATACAGGTTAATAGGCTTTAATGTCCACACACACATCAAATTAGTAGTTTTGTGTCTCTAATTCAGCAGCAAGAGCACTATAATTAGTGTCCCTGTCCATGACTTTAATCCTGAGCCACACTGCATCCTTTATTTGCTGTCTTTCATGCCATGACTCCATGGCTTTCTTGAAAGGTCACATTGAGCATGTTTGTTTGCAGTTTGACCTCTATTGCACTTAAATGAAGTAAGATGGAATGAAAACATACTTGTAGTGTTAAATATTGTTATGATCCGGTCTAGGGTCATATGGGCTCTCTCCCCAGACCTGCTGCCAGTGCAAACACCGGACACTGTTTTAAACAAAACCATCTCACGTTTATTTATATTTTCCTGACAGGCTTAATAGCCAGTTGTTCACTGCTGTGAGGAAACACAGCTTTAGGAACGAGCCTTTGTGTAAAATAACAAACGGAACAACTAACGATTGCAAAACTGACTAACCGGAAATTAAAAGAAACAAAACCAAATGACCCCTTTGAAACCAGGAGTAAAAGGGTAGGCAAAAGAAATGGCACTCGTTCCCTTCTTCCTGCAAAAATTCACAGAATCTAACCATGCAAGCACAGCGAGGCAAAGTGAAGAGTGTCATGCTGGTCTGGACAGGTACTTCCAGGTCTTGTCAGTGAGGAGAGACTCCTGAATGTCTCCACAGTTGGTGGCTTGGCAGCCTGTTATACAGAAGCATGCCCCCTTGTGGCCGTACACAAACCTGCACATCACCATGTGCAGAGGAAAAACACGATATCAACATGATAAAAGCCTAAAAAATTTATGCCCCGTGTTGTAAAACACGCTACTCATTTCCCCCATATTCTAACAGGAAAATGTACACCAATATATATCTGTATGGAACCACCTTGAGGTAATGCCTTATATAGGCTACTACACGTGGTAAAGGCTTATACCTTCCTCAACCAATAATAATAATTTTTTATATGTTTAGTAAATGAATATTATATAAATATGATTATACAATATTTAATTTCAGATTATCTCAGTAAAGTATTTATAATAACCTTATGGATAGTGGTGGGCAGTATAGCAAAAGTATATCACAATATTTCAAGAAAATTTCATGATACAAGATGTCATGATATAAACTTTTCTGGCAGCTGATAAGTTGGAACAGACAAAAAAATGACCAGTAGTGCCATGAAAAACTGTTAAAATCTATTAATACAAAGTAATGTCTCATATGTTGCACAGCACTAGATTCAGTTAAACAGGACTGCTTATGCTTTGCTATACTATTGTAATGTAATTTATCACAATAACCATAAACAATGTCATGTTGCCCAGCCCTGCTTAATGATCTCTTAAAAATAAATACTGTCTATGCATGTCTTTGCTAAGCCTATGTTAAACCTTTATCCAACTGTCTGTGTTCCAGGTGTTTGACGGTAGTGGCTCATTCCTTTCCTACATTAACACCTCAGCTGACCCACTCTATGGCCCGCAGGGACTGGCCCTCACCTCCGATGGCCACGTGGTGGTGGCTGACTCGGGGAACCACTGTTTCAAAGTCTATCGTTATCTCCAATAGGACTGTCCCTGTCCCCTTATCCTTCACTGCCCGAAAAACAGACATTTGCACTCATCTTCCAGGACAGTGACGCCTCTCTCTGTGCCATACAACACCCTCAGGTCACGGCACCTCTTCCCTTGGCACCTGTTCTTTTTGATCACTAAGATTTGAAACAGCCTTTATACTACATGTCCCTTGATTTGGATGGCACACATGGAGGGAGCTGTCAGCATGTGGATGTCTTGAGTTGATCCTGGGAGCTGATACTGAAGGAGTGCTTGGTAGAATGCTGTTTTGGAGTTTTGGAGAAAGGTAAACAAGAGTTTGAGCTTTGAGGCTGATTACTGGTAGAGCCAGTAACATTTTCAGTGATTCTTCGAATAGTTCACATGATCACTGCTCACTGATATGCTTTTGGGAAATTAGTCCCTGACTGTAAAACAGTTCTCCACAAGGGCCAGCCTTGTTTTATTCATTTTACCCACAGAGACCACTCTATGGGCTGGATTTCTGACTACAGATTAAGTCCTGAGGCCTGTCTCACAAAGCGTGTTCAACTAAGTCAGAGTTCCTGAATAAGTTTGTGTTACCGCACCTAACAAATGCAGGCACGGTTAACTCGTTTTATGGTGGTACTTAACAGCTCTGTTCTCTGTTAATCCAAATTTAAGCCCAGTCCCCAAACAGCACACTTGCAGTGGTGCAGTCCACATTGCCTGTGCATGGACAGCTTGACCAATGTCTCATTTTGCCATTTAAAAGGTGGCTCAGGAGCGCCCTTTTACAACCGTATGACCTATTGCTGTACATGCAGAGCCTGCATGATGCACAAGTCTATCCCAACATGCAGAACAAGCACTTTCAAGGTTTCTTGGTCTGCACATTGTTGATGTCACCAAAGTGTGGACTTTGAGTTGGACCTCAGGGCACAGGGCACCTTTGGGACTGGATTAAAGATATTCAAGCTAAAAGAAATTCCTGTGCGCATGCACATGAAAACATGATGTTTATGATGAATAGCCAATCACGTGAAAAGTGGAGCGACTACTTTTCAGGAACAAAAAAATCATACTACATAAATATATAGAAAGTAGCAGCAGAAAGCATTCATTGTCGCTGTGTTAACTATGGTACCTTTTGGCGTTACAATAATTGCTTAATATTTTACATAAAGCAATATCGCATAATTGGCTATTCAGCCCAAATGCAACAAAGAAGAAGCGAAGTGGTTGAAGTTGTGGTTTTCTCGCTTTCTAATGTGTTGCATATATATATATAAACCAGTTTAAAAGTTGATGACTTGCAGCACCTCGCAAAAAAAGTATGACCTGGACAGGAGCAGAGGGTAGACCTCCACTATTAGTTTGGTCCAAGAGCTGTTTACGATTCACAGTCTTGAGCATAATCTGCTCAGAAGAGCCTTTGCTAGATCAGGCTAAGTTTGAAGTTAGCCAGCTAAGCAAGAAATCTGGCTTTGTGAAACAGGCCTCAGTTCTAAAAGTAAGGTGTAATCTCTGTACAAAAACACATTTTACTACTCACCTAATTTAGACAGTCTAAGAGGAACTTGAACACTGTGTTTTGGGGTCATTTAAAAGGATTAAAAAAAATAAAAAAGAAGTATATGATGCACTTAAATACAAGCATAATATTTCGAAGGATGTAACTGCATCTGCACAAAGCAAAATGCACATACAGCGTCACAGGGTCACAGTTGGTTGGGATGATTGTGAACAAAAAAAATCTCTTAACAGTTCTTTGTCATCTTGTCTGTTTCACTGTGTGATCCATAAAAAAGGGCGTGTCTCTGTGATTCAAGCATGTAGGTCTTTGTAATGTTACCCTATAATATGCAACAAGAAAGGGAAGCACTTAATGAAAAATATGTAAAAACTGAAAAAAAGACACTTTTTGGCTCAAGGTGATATTTTTTTATGAGGCCATAAACTCAGTTTGTATTTAATTTATTGAATCTTTTCCCCCCCTTACCGTGTGTTTTTGTCCCTTAGTGCTGGAAGTCTTAATCTTTCAGATCAACCCACTATTATTTTGTAAAATACTGAAGTCTCAGAAACTTTTATCACCAGTTCTTCTTGTTTAATGTGTAATGGCGCAACATCTCAGGCCACTTTTTAGATTCTATTAATATCTAATACAGGACAAAACAGACGTTCATTCATTTCCTTGAAGTGAAACATCTCATCACTGCGGTCATTGTGGCCTACTGCGTTCATTCATGAACATTACATGTGAGGATCAGCCTGTGGCCGTTTTTGTGTACATTTGTGTGTCATTTTCCTTTTGCACACCTAACCATGATGCCAAATGAAACAAAAGTGCCCATAGTGTCGAGTTTTTGTCGTTTTCCAGTGTGCTCATCAGAATAGTTTAGGAAGAATCGTCCTAGTCTCATCTTTTTCTCAACCATATGCTGACAAGCCCCTCCTCCTCCACTACAATTGGCTGGTAGTAGCACGTGCTGCTTCGGCGCGCTGCTTACGATCGTCCTGACGAACTCTTAGCCAATAGACATCTGAGGTTGTGCATTATTTTGGATCCTCTGAATCATGAGATTTTTATGCATTCAAAATATGAATAAAGCTACAAGAAAGCTAACGCTTCTCTACATTAAATAAACATTGTATGAAAGTGTAATACTAGCAAAGCTAGCAAAAATCTTTTACACTTCCAGCTACTCTACATTGTAGCCTGTTACTGCCAAAGCCACACAAAGCTTGCTGGTTTGTGTGGGGTATTTTGATGAGGTTGACAGTTTGATGATGTTAATGTATTAGCTTTCTTGAAACATTCATATTGTAGTATTTATATCACTTAACAACCACATAATTCAGAGGACCCGCTGATGTTTGAGTCAAAATAAACTTAGTACGTGTCAGCTTTGGAAATTCTTTGGAAACGTTCAGAATGCCCCTAATTTTTTTTTAGAGATAAAAAGAGCTGACATCCAGAGTCTATATTAGGGCATGACGACACATCCTCACCATTTTTTTCTAGTGCAGGAGGTGGGGCTTGTTGGAATATGAGATGGGGGGAAAAAAACAATGCTAACTGAGCACCTTTTTGCTCTTTCTGCATAACACATAAGCTTAAATTTTCATTCTCTAGCTTTATGCTTATGTACAGCACTGTCTTAACGTGGTGTCTCTCCATACATTCCAAAACAAAGGGGTTTTTCACCACTTTACAGCAGATACTGCACACACTCTCTTCATTCTGCACAGCGCTCATCTGGCAGATACATGCTACATTTGACAGTGGCAGTTTTTAGCCTGAATGCTTTGGTCATATGGTCACTTTTTCTTTTATCCTTGCTCAACATGATGTACAGCACATGAATAAAAATCATTTGGACAAAAAAGGCCTAAAAAGTGTTTTTAAATGTTTATTTAGGAATTTTTAGAGATTTGAAAATTTTCATTTGAATTAGAGAGCTAAGATTAATAATACAATACATTGAACTTCGCCACTTATTTAACAATGATGTACCTGATTTGATCCACCAGAAAGTTCCTCTAATGGCACCCTCTCACACGATGACAGATCAAACGTAGTTTTACTCTATGTAACATACTAAACTCTTATTTTCTTTAAAATACATATCTATTGAGGTATTTCTGTAACATAGTGCAATGTTTTAGAATACATTTTGAAAACAACATATTACCCTCTTTATTTGTAAACTCTTTTGTCTTTTTGGCCATTGGTCCACCAGAAGCATTGCACTTTGGCCCACCAAGACAAAACGTTTGGGCACCCCTGTAATACATCATCTTTCCTTTGCTATCTGACAAAACAAACTGGCTCCCTCACGCGGCCAAACCATGTTTATGATAACTGAAAACCGTACAAAAGGATGAAGACCAAAAAAAATGATGCACATTCTACACACAAAGGTCTTAGACTCATAGACAGCCAGTTAACAGCAGTCAGTGGTGTATCTACTTTTATTATTGGTCTTTTAGCTTGTTTGCAGTAGGTCTAGTAGTTGGGCAGATCCACGGAGCTGTGTGCCTTTTGCCGTATTAACTGTTTAATGTAGTATTTTTTTTCTTTAAAAAATATTTAACTATTTATTGTTTTGCATAGATTTTAATGGTGACTTACTTGGAGCAATGTATGTGTTATGGCAAAGACCAATTTATCATCCAAATTGTGATAAAAGGACATGACCTTGGCAAATGTTCTCTATTATGCACTGCTAAACTGAAAAATGTAAGCATTTTTAAAAATGCCTTTATTTGAAGACTTACTTATTACTACAGTGTGTCCCTGGGTATGGTGGGTCATCAAGGGATGGTTTCCCAGACTGGGATTAAACCTAGTACATTTTCCTTTCAATGCAAACTTTCCTTTCACAGTGCAAGACTAGGCATAATCCCTATCTGGAAAACTGACACTATACAAGGTGATTCAAAAAGATTCATCCGATTTCAAAATGACTGTTTTCACTTGTAAATCATTACAGAACAATGCAGTAAATTGTAAATGGTTTAAGTGAGCATATAGTTTATTATGTAATTCTACACATGCTCAATATGAACCTTCTTCAGCTGTACGGACAACATCAACCCAATAGTCATTCATCCCATACTGGATTGAGCATGTCGGGTGTCGCTGTACTCATGACTCTTTCAGTGGGATTTCGGAGATCATCCAATGTTGTGGAACCAATAACAAATGCTCTGAGCTGTTGGAGGTTCACAGCCGACAAAAAGTTGGTATGTGATTCGTTCCTAGGCAACTTACGGTTGTAAAAATGTGGCACTTTTAAATCGGATGAATATTTAGTAAAAATAAAATTAATTAATTAAAATGTTTGTACATTTAAAACAAATAAAAGGGGAGGGGCTGATGTAATATTCTTTAAACACAGTCAACAGTCAACAGCCATGCTAACGGTAAAAAATAGCTAATAAGTGTGCAATATATCGCTGTTGTCAGAAGAAAACCTTGCATCTCCAAAATGGTAACTTGAAGTCATTTGTGGTCATTTCTTTTAGTCCATTCATTATGAAATATACACACAATGCAAAGGACAACAGGTATTTTCAGCTTATGTCAAAAACTGAAAAACGTCAAAAATGGAGATGCGAGGTTTTACAACAGCGATAGTATGTTCCTACATTCAATGTACCATGCAATATTTTTAAGCTTTTTTAAGAATCTTAAAAAGGTGTATTTTCCTCTGATGCACCTTGAAGACAAGAAGATCAAAGATGCCGTCATGGTAAGTTACTCTCTGTTTTGTGTACTTTAGCTGGTATGAAACCTTTGTACATCTTAATAAAAGAATTAACACAAATCCTACAGTACGTTGGAGTTACTTAAACTGAAAAATTCAATTTGGTAAGTGGAACTAATAAAATGGA